TACGGCTTTCTCTTTCGGGAAACCCCAAGCACTTAGCACAAACCTGAGGGATTACCTTACAAGCTCAGGAGGAACACGGGGACCTCCCTTATTCTAATTTACAGCTAATGGTGGAGTAATACAACGGTAGTGGAGTATTACTATTCGTGGTGGATGATTCTCACAGAACTTCTAAGATCATGTCTTCATGTGTATGTGTGAGTGGCGAGTTGGTGTAGTGGAGTGGAGAGTGGAGTGTGGTGTCTGGTGGTTCGCTCCGATGCTGAATGCCGATTCTCTCCTTCTCAATGAATGCGCCTGCCTTCACGCTTTATAGCACGAAGGGAGTGTCCTTCATGCTTATCGTCTGAAGTTCCTTCGAGGCGAAGTCATCGTCTGAGGAGCCTTCGTGCTTAAGGAAGCATCTCGTGTCTTCAATTATCATCCTTTACTGTTGCCTGGACAGCTGGACAGAGAATAATTGTCCTGGCTACAGTAGAGTGACTACATATTCCTTTTGCGCTATCCTTCATCGCGCACGGTCTTATCCTTCTGGATATTCTTTGGTATGGTCCGATCATAGATAGCGGTTGGAGATATCACTACCACAATCCTAAAATTTCTTGAGGGCTAGGAATTTTCTTGAAGGCCAAATTGAAACCGCCAAGAAATATGGTATTTCCTTGGCGGTGCTATAAAACAGTGAAGGAAATATATATTTCTTGAAGGTTGGTGAGACCCGCCAAGGAAATATAGATATTTCTCGGCGGTTTCACAAAACCCTCAAGGAAACTATAAATTTTCCTGACTACCGGCGGCCAAGGAAATGTTTTGGGTGCCAACGCCAAAGTTAGCCAAGTCTGCGTCGCTCTCCCACGAAAAAAATTGGCTCCTCAAGATAACCCTAACCCCGCCACGCCCCCCAAAGGCAACTCATCCAACACAGGGGCGTCCCCAACACAGACCAAAATTCCCCCGCCGCCGCCACCCATCCGCCGCCCACGCCACCTCCTCCCTCGACGCAACCTCCTCCGTCGTCTCTCCTCGACGCCCTCCGCCTCCTCTCAACGCCCTTCTCTTCCACTCCCAACCCCCTCAGCACCACCCTCTCCATTCTCCACCCCTCAACCTTCGTCCCAAGATCTCCATGGCTTAGCTCTGAAATCAGTGTCCTCCACCCTTTGGTTTGACATCGTCAGCTTCTCCACTCATCCCTCTGTTCCCATGCCCAGACGTGCAAGATTTGTGATGATGTGAAGCCTATCTCTGGCGTCCGTGGTGGGGATTCTTCAGCGTGTTGGACTGTGTTGGTGCTGAGTGCCGTGGATGCTGCTGCCGTGGTGGGGATTCTGCAGTGTGTTGTCGTGGACGTTGCTGCCGTAGTGGGGATTCTGTAGCAAGTTGGCCTGGACGCTGCTGCCCTGGTGTTCGCACTGGTCCATGGTCTGGACAGCTCCGGAGGTCAATATCCTGTAGATCCAGACAAACACTTTAGAGCCTGGTGAGGATGGCTTTCTTATTTTGTTTTTTTTTTTTTTCTTCATCATTACTAGTACACATACTGTGCGCTAGGACATAGGTCTGAAATTAGTTCTGAGAGACATTGAATATTCTAAACTTTTGAGGCTTTCGATTCAAACAAATTAATTGTTGCTATCTGAAACATCTGGTTGGACTTTAGATAGTTCACATGGAAATTGGTGTTCGTCTTCAGGGAACCCATGTGTTCGCCTCTTGATTGTGTTCGTCTTCAGGGAACCCATGTGTAAACTGATCATGCCTTTTTTTTTACCAGGTTTGATCTCAGTAGATGTGATCTGTTTTCCATTGTTGAGGAGTGCAAGGGAATTCTCTGTGGACAACTCTGAAATACAGTAACAGTAAGTATCATGTTCTTTCTTAACAACTGTGTGTTTGACATTAGTTAGAGTGCATATTTGTAGTAAGCTGGACACAGTGTTGATAATTATTGTGTTTCTCTCTTTTCTGCCCTACTAGCCATATTTGGTTGATAATTGTGTCAATATTCAAGAACCTGAAATATATATAATTTTTGTCATCTTTTAAAACAGAATAAAAGTAATGACAGGCCGGGAATGGATGTATAGTGGTTGGTCTCTGGACAGGCCCCCTCTAATGAGTGGATTGAAAACACAAACATATTTTTGGACCGTGCATTCTCTATGCTTAGTCTGGTTGAAAATGACACCATTAAGTGTCCATGTGCCAAGTGCAAAACTATGTTAGGCATAAAAGGTTTGATGTGCAGATGCACTTGTGTAAACATGGGTTTAGAGATGACTATAGAATCTGGACATCACATGGAGAGGGTCATATTGAAGCTGGAAGTGATGAGAGTTTAGATGAAGCTGATCGCATGGATGATATGTTGGTTGACCTTGCTAATGCCAACCCACCTACAATTGACGATGAGCCTACAGCCTCAGCCCAGGCTTTCTATAGGATGGTTTCTAGTGCAGACCAACCAGTCCATGAGAGCACAACACACACTACTCTTTCTGCTGTGGCACGTTTGTTAGCATTGAAATCACACTACAATATGTCAATTGCACATTTCAAGCAAACTTAGAGTTATTGAATGAAATTCGCCTCCGAATCTAAGATTCCTAAGGACTTCTACCACCAAAGAAATTATTGGAGGGTCTAGGCATGCGATATGTGAAAATCGATGTGTGTTACAATAATTGCATGCTTTACTATAAAGAAAATGAAAAGAAAGACAAATGTGATGTTTGTGATACCTCACGCTATGAGGAAGGCCCGGGTAGAGTCCCACGTAAGGTATTGCGGTACCTTCCAAGTTATATGCATATGAAAAGACAGCAAAGATGATGCAGTCTCACAAACGGTCCAAATTTGGTCAGATGTTACACCCATGTGATGGTGAAGCATGGCAACAATTTGATGAGGACTTTCTAGATTTTGCTAGTGACCCAAGAAATGTTCGCCTTGCTGTGGCAACAGATGGTTTTACACCATTTAGTATAAATGCAACGCCTTATTCATGCTGGCCAGTTTTTGTTACTCCATTGAATCTCCCTCCTTGTGCTATCATGAAGTCAGAGTACATATTTCTTGCCCTTGTAGTCCCAGGTCCAGAGCATCCTAGAAAGAAATTGAACATACTAATGCAACCTTTAGTGGATGAGCTACTGAGCTTGTGGAGTGGGGTTGAAACATGGGATGCTTCAATCAAAAAGAGATTTAAAATGCGAGCAGCCTATCTATGGTCAATCCATGATTTCCCTGCTTATGGTAATTTTTCTAGATGGAGCACTCATGGTAGGCTTGCTTGCCCAATATGCTTGTGTGATAGTAAAGCCTTCAACCTTCACCATGGTCACAAAGCTTGCTGGTTTGATTGCCATCGTCGTTTCTTACCCAGTGACCATGTTTTTAGATATGAAGCAAATGCATTTAGAAAGAACACAATGATCCATGATGAGCCTCCGAGACATTTAACAGGAGAGGAAATCCTAACCCAAATGAGCACACTTATGTCTAATAGTGCAAACTATGGTGTATTGCACAACTGGACCCATGTAAGTTGCTTTTGGCAACTTCCATACTTCCATAAATTGCTATTGCGACACAACATAGATGTGATGCACAATGAGAGAAATATAGCTGAAGCTATATGGAATACATGCTTTGACATTCCTGAGAAGACTAAAGATAATGCTAAGGCTCGAAAAGATCTAGCTGAAATCTACAATCGTCCCTCTCAACATTTGAAGCAAAAGTCAAATGGCAAGTGGGACAGGCCTCGGGCTCCATTTTGCATTGACAAGAATGACAAGCCAACAATCCTAAAATGGTTTCAAGAACTCAAGTTCCCTGACGGCTATGCAGCCAACATTAAGAGAGGGGTGAACCTAACTTCAAGGAAGATATTGGGACTAAAAAGTCATGATTACCACATATTTATGGAACGCTTACTTCCTACTGCATTTCGAGGGTTCCTGCCTGAAAATATATGGAAGTGTTTGGCAGAGCTTAGCTTTTTCTATCGGCAATTGTGCGCGAAAGAGTTGAAAAAGGATACCATATGCTCATTGGAACAACAGATTGCTGTTCTTCTTTGCAAAATGGAGAAGATATTTCCTCCAGCTTTCTTCAATCCTATGCAGCATCTAATTATTCATCTTCCTCAAGAGGCTCGACTAGGAGGTCCTGTTCAAGCCCGTTGGAACAATCCATTTGAGCGGTAAAAATATAACTAAAATCATCTAATAATCTGTTGTTTCTGTATATATTTCTTTTTTGATTTTTGTTTATAATCCGTAGGAAAATTCAGCAACTTAAAAAGAAAGTACGAAATAAGGCACGTGTTGAGGGTTGCATAGTTGAGGCTGAATTGGTTGAGAAGGCTACAAATCAACTATCCCTTTATTTTAGGTCCAATGCCCGATCAGTTAGAAACAAAGCTCCTTGATATGATGATGGTGCCTATACCTTCCAAAGTTCATGCAATCTTCAAATCTTTCAACGCCCTGGACGGTGCACTAGCCCTCGAGGCACTCGTCTTCTCTCAACAAAAGAGTATGAGGCTGCTTTCCTATATGTTTTGACTAACATGGAAGAGATGGATGAACACTTCAAGTAATACACCCATCCTACAAGCTGAATTTGTTTTCTATATGTGTTGACCATATTCTAATTTACTTGTTTCCTTTAGTAAATTTAGGGAAGAACAATGGAAGAGCAGAATTAGTCCAACAGATGAACAACTAAAGGATTTAAGGTTAAATGGGTGGAAGAGTAGCCGAGGAAAACGTGGTCCTAATTTCTTTGAATGGTTCAAAGAAAAAGTAATCCTACTGAAACACTTCACATTACCTTTTAGTAGCAATCTACTTCAAACAATAACTAACATATCCTACTATCATGAACTTGCAGTGCATGCAAACAGAAGGCATTGATACTGCCTTGTGTGAAGTATCTTATGGTTTTCAGTGAAGAGTAGCTACCTATGGGTGTTATGACGTGAATGGTTACAGATTTCGCTCGAAGGAGCATGAGAGAACTAAACCAGGATTAGCTACAATTAATAGTGGCATTTGTGTAACTTGTGTTGATGATGGCAACAATGAGATGGAGTATTATGGTGTTATCAAGGACATCTTTAAAATAAAATGGGAAGGAAGCTTGAGGCTAGAGATGGTTTTGTTTGACTGTGATTGGTTTGATCCAACACCAAGTGGAACTAGGCACACTGAAAGTTTGGGACTAGTGGAAATTAAGCATGCTGCCAGGCTTTCTGTTTTTGAACCATTTGTTATGGCAAGTCAAGTTAAACAAGTCCATTATTTACCTTATGCGTGTCAGAGAAGAGAAGATCTGGCAGAGTGGTGGGTTGCATATCATGTTACTCCATGTGGATATATTCCTCCAGATGAGAGCAATGATGACTCAAATCCTCCTGCTGGTCCAGCACAAGAAGTTTTATTTTTTCAAGAGGAGGGCTTGGAAGGAACATTTGTCGTTGATTTGGGGATGGATCTAGACAACACAACTTCTGTTGTGTCAGATGAGATAACTGATCCTACGGACTTGGAATTTCTCTCCAAACTAACTACTCCAGATGAAGGCCAAGAAGATACAGCTTGTGAAAATACATATGACGAAGATGAAGACAACCAAGATGAAGAGGACCCTGATGATCTGCTTGAACATCTAGCTTATGACCTGATGATTATTGACTTCTTTTTCTTTACTTAGGGGTTGTGCAAGCAGTTTGTATTCCTTGAAACAAGTGTACCTTTTGGGATAAAACTGTGCACTTGTTATGCCTTATTGCATATCCATGTTTGCGCTCAAAATGTTATTCACATGTGTGGTTGCGTGTTCTTAAAAATATGCTAACTGTCATTTGTGCTTGTGATATACAACTTACTAACTGTTTTACTAATAATGCAGGAGATGTATGCTCTTCGTCACAAAAAGCACAAGAGTAACACTGGAAGTAATCATGGTGCAAACTCCGGAAGCAATCCTCAAGGTGTTGAATCCAATACAAATCAGTCCAGAAGGGTTGGGGCTGATGGTGGCAACTCTGATAGGAGCAGTCCAAATGGTGTTCAGTCCAGCAGAAATAATGCCACAAGGGTTAGAGCTGATAGAGGAGGTTCAAGAAATTTTACAGAGACAACAATTCCTGGTAGGAGAAATCATTTTTGTCTTACTGAAGTCATTGACCTGCAGTACATTTTTTCATGCATAATTTCTTATTGGTTTTACAGGAATATACTTTTGGGCCTGGGCATCAGAGTGGCACTATAAACACATTTGCTGTAATGAAATCCGGAATTAAGAATGTGGATAGCACTGGAAGGAGTGGTCCAATCCCTAGCCAAAAAGCACAGAAACGTTTGGTCTGCTCTTCATACTTTTATCTATTATTGATATTTTTTTGCATGATTGTTTACTTCCTGAATGTATTACAACATAATTTATTTCACATGCCCATCTTAATTTCATCTTATCTTCATTTTAGGATGACTACAAAGCACTAGCTCCAGATGAGAATTCAAAAGTACTTGATGGGAAAGCATTGTACACCATGGCACGTGGAATGCCCCATGGCCGTGTTCTAATAGGCGATGGTGCTGTGGATAAGGCATGTGTTCTAGTACATGCCAAATCAGCATCGGTTATGCCACCCAATCATGATAAGTATCGAAGTGTGATCGCTGAAAATGAGCGATTGAAAGAAACTAATGGGCTACTCATTGAGGACCTTGTCATGGTAAAAATTGTTTATTATTTACACCGTTTAACTCGCCCTATGCATGCATTTTTATGTGGGTGCTTTTTAACTGTAGAGAATTTATGCGGATTTCAAAAAAGAACCACCTGCTGATCTGCTGCAGCGCCTAGCAAACATTGATGCCCGCCGCAACCAGGTTACAACATTCATTTTATTATCTTGCACGTTTCATACTTTATATTTTCTGGACATTTCATCTAGAGATTTAATAATGTTTGGTGGCAGAATGGCAATGCGAGTTGCAGCAGTGAACAAGTGGCTTCTTGTTGATTAGAAATGCCATTCTTAGTTTTATGTTGATGGTAAGGTAGCCAAGATCAGTTTTGCTTGGCGTAAAAATGGACAAAAAGAGAATCTTTATGTAAACAGTAACATTGATATAAGGCCTTAAGATAATCCTTTATCTTGACAACTCATTCTTCTATGCTTTACTGAGTAAACAAAAAGTGTAATGTGAATAAGCAAGAAAAACAGTAATGACACAATTTGTTTGCACAGATATTTTTAGGTGTTTATAAAAAAATATTTTTTAGGGAATATGTATTGGTTCACTTGAGTTTTGCTAATAATAGGAAACTAGTATATTGAGTACAACTATATTGCTTCTTGCAGACTACAAGTTTATCACTTGGAGGCTCTGAATCTGTTGATAATGGTTGGTACAACTACAACTACAATGATGATGAATTTGATGATGATTACACTGTTGATGGCGCTGATGAGGAGGATTACATTGATGAGGATAGCACTGATGATGAAGCTGATGAGGACATGTCAGGTGATGATGGCATGTACGAGGAAGATGATCATGATGACATTTATGATGAAGCCAATAATCTACAGAATGTTGATCGGGAACTGGATAATGATGGCAATGGCTGCAGAGATGTTGAAAATGTCCAAGGTGACGATGAGCACTTAACTGGCCATGCACGCAAACAAAAAGATGAGAGTGGCAACAGATGGGAGTGGCACACGACATGGTAACGCCTATAATGGCTCCAAGTGACCGGTAGGCTGCAGTTTGGATTTCCTTTTGGTCTAATTTGGTAGAAACCAACAGTTGTTGTAGTGTATTGGTGCTGGTACCCTCCAAATGCAAGTGCGCACCAACTAACCTTTTGCTGATCGATGTAGTAAGCAATGTTGCCTTAAGCATGTGTTGCTGACATGTAGGCATGACTGGTGCTGGTGCCAGCTATCCTTTTGCTAATGTAGTGAGCAATGTTGCCTTAAGCATGGCTGCTACATGAAGGCATGAAACAATGTTGCCATATAGATTTTGTATATATCTGCAAAATGGTCTTGTAATGAACCATCGGATGTTGCATGTTATGTATGATTTTCTGATGTTATTATCTATATGACTATTGGATCATTAATGGATATTGTTTGATCCATTCGATTTAATTGTTCTGTGAAATATTTCGCCTTTTCCTTGGCGAGATCATATTTCCTTGGCTACCATATTTGTGCAAAATGTATTGCCTTGGCTGAGAAGGGAGCAAGGAAAATTAATTTTCTTGGCGGGACAACAGACAAGGAAAACAAGGTTTCTTGATTTGTTTAAGGCCGCCAAGTAATACACCCTTAACTTGGCGGTAAGTAGCACTCAAGAAAATGCAATTACTTGGCGGTCAAGCACCCCTAAGGAAATATGATTACTTGATGGTGTATGACCCTTAAGAAAATGTATTTACTTGTCGGTTATTCACCCCCAAGAAAATGTATTTACTTGTCGGTCTACTCATTTTCCTGTCCTCTTGTCGGTTGTTACATGTCCATGTTTTTCTTGGCAGGTTGGCAGTCAAGAAAACATTGCTTGAGGGCCAGCCGCCAAGGAAACTCTATTTTCCTTGCAATCCAAACTTGGCGGTTCATGCTTGGCGGTGCACCGCTAAAAAAACATTTCCTTGGCGGTTTTCCTATATTCCTTGGCGGTTTTTGGCCGCCAAGAAAATTCCGTTCTGTGGTAGTGTATGGATAGAGATATGTAGACTATAAAAATACATATCATAGTATATCCAATGAAGCGGTGGTGCCTAGCCATATAACCCAACTGCCAATGCGACTACCTGATGCATAAGGCATCCGAGTCACTCGATTGATGAATCATATTCCCTGTAATTAATTTGGGGCTTATTACCGGTGATGTTCCCTACTTGTAACGGTTAACGCAAGTGCTATTTTTACTTTAAGCAATATATAGATCAATCAAAGCTAGTTATATATGGTAGTTCCTTCATTCAAAATTGTAAGACATTTTAATATTTCTCCATGCAAAGTTTTTTCTATATTTCTACATACAAAGTTTTGTTATATACAAGTATACACTATGTCTACATACATTTTAAAAACAACGTATCTAGAGAAGCCAAAACGCTAAACAGTATATACCCTAAATAAATAGAAAACACTAAATAAATACATATTTATATATTTTTAAAAAACTAAGATTTCTTTATGTAACTCTAATTATAGAGAAGTGAATAAAAAGTGATTTTATACTTTTTACAGTTTATTCGTGCATTTTGTTTTTCGCATTCATGTCTCTACATTATGCATATAGAGTGACAAAAGGCGTGACACGTTTTGGATGGTCTGGTTTTGGCACGATTAGGATACTAGATTGTGATCCCCTGAAATTAAATGTTGGCGTAGGTTCGTGTAGCACCCAGTTTTAAGAACAAAACCAGATATACACCATATGTGAGCCCAGTAAGTTAAATCACACATATGGCTACAAATAGAGGTAATATCAATCGACAATGCTTAATACATAACGTACTTAGTATAAAGGATATAACCTTAGACAGCAAACAGCGGCAAGACAACTTCGATCTTCGGGTGAAGACTCCACTCCATAGGGATAACTGACCGGTTGATCACAAGACTAACTCATCCAACCTCTAGCAATCTGGTACCCATGTAGGATTTTTATCCTATTAAAATGTAAAGGCAAGTGTAAGTACATGTCATACTCAACAAGGATAACATGGGGTTCATGAGGCACAAAAGGTAGACACTGGTTTAACTGCAGTTAGCTTTTAGTGAGTCATGATTTTAAGCAATTGAGTAGCAACAAGTTTTTTATAAGCCCATATAAACATATTATCAATGTAAACATGATTAATGAATAGCATAAACAAATAATTAATAGTGATCATCTATTCCGTAAATGTTTCGAGGCCACTCATGACCATGAGCTCGGCTGATATACCAGTTTTACACTCTGCAGAGGTTGTACACTTTCACTGTGAGTCGTGTTTCCCATGTGCCCGGGGTTTGCAAGTCCCCAAAACACTACCAAGGTGAGCAGGCAGGGTACACTATGAAGCCTTTCAAAGGTTTGTCTAACAAGCTAGGGACGCTAGGATTCTCTTGGCAAGCAGATGTAGAAACCTCCCTTTTCGAATGGCACAATTCCTTCTCGGCTATACACATAGGACTAGAGGCTGTCCTATACCCATCGTGTCAAGCCCCTTTTGTGCCATAAAGGTAACCACTAACAAGCTAGAAAAGGTCCTTATACTTGACTAAAGCCAGAGCCATGTGGCCATAACAGTTGTACTGTAAGTCTCGGATGATCACTTACAGATAAGTTCTTAAGGAGAGGAATCTGAAGCATTTAGAAAGTAGCTAAATACTCTAGCCCCCTTTTATCAACTTGCTAAAAAGTCATGTTTTAATGTTTATTGCATATACCATTAGACAAGTTACAAGATCATGGTTTCGTTGAGCACTAGCATTAGCTGCCCAATGCATATCCCATAGGTGACAAGGTATGAGTCCAATTCTAGGAAATCCTTAGTTATAGCAAGGAGACACATGCATATGAATTAAAGTGTATTAAGGTTAATAGGAAACAAGGATGATCTCATGCTCTACTTGCCTTAAACTCATATCCTTCTTCTAGTCCAAAGCTTCAAAGGATTGCTTCTAGTTCACCACA